GTTTCTATTCAGGGAAGCCAATCCTTGTCACCTAAAAAGTGTTTTCTTTGCATATTTGGACTAAGTTAAAATAGACAAAGTTCAAGTCCTTTGTCTCTATATTTTGGATAAGCCTCCAGATGAAGTTTCTGGAATGGGGAAGATGTAGCCCTCTTTTCCTGGTTCTGATCCAAATTCCTTTTTGTCCTGCATGTTTTTAAAAAAACTTTTGGGAATGTTTGGGCATGGAATTCTCTCATATGTCTTATGAAATAAGATAACACCAGGAATTCTATGAGGCATTCTGCCAGCTTTTTGCAACAGCTGACTTCTAGAAGTACTATTTGAAGGGTTAATTCTCCTGAGGTTCATCTGTACATCCCTCTAATTGCAACTCAGATTTGTCTTCATTAGCTGTTTCCATCGATACTGCCTTCATCTTATCTCCATAGCTCAGGCTGCCTAACCTCTAGCTTATCAAAAAGAAGGAGTAGAGGGCGACATGAGAACTGTCTTCCAGTACTTGAGGAGCTGTTAGAGAAGGGGGGTTTGACTTATTCCCCAAAGCACCAGAGGACAGGCCAAGAAGTAATGGGTAGAAGCTTGCTAAGGAGAGATCCAACCTAGAAGTAAGAAAAAATGTTTTGAAAATGAGAACAGTTAATCAATGGAATAGCTTGCCTCCTGGAATTGTGGGTGCTCCATCACTGGAGGTTTTCAAAAATAGACCAGACAATCATTTGACTGGGATAGTATAAGATCTCCCACCTTGGTTTGGACTAGAACAGTGATGGCAAACCTTTTTGTTGTTGGGTGCCAAAAATGCGAGGGTGCACATGCATGGGCTGGCACCCATAATGCAAAGCACCAGAGACGTGCAGTCAGGGGAGGCAGGGGAGGCAGAGCCTCACCACTGTCATCATGAAAAGAAAATGTAAAAGGAAAAGGAAAAAGGCAAGAGTTGAGGTCAAGCTGAGCTAGTTGCTGCCAGATTCAACGTGGATGACTCTGCTTAGTGCTTAACTGTTTAAAAAAGCCTCTAAAAAAAGTGCCCTCTACAGGAGGCAGCATGAAAACTATGTGCCTCATCTAGTCTGACTTTATGATCACTCGAGCATAGCTAAGCAAGTGTTAAAAGCCGAAAAATTTCGTTCTCCTGCCTCCTGTAGAGGGCGTTTTTTTAGAGGCTTTTTTAAACAGTTAAGCACTAAGCAGAGTCATCCACGTTGAATCTGGCAGCAACTAGCTCT